AAAAAAACAACATGCATAGAAAAAATTGTATGAGTAAATCTACTAAACGAAGGAGATTGTTGGAAGAAACGGCAAATGTATTAGACAATTTTCTTGAAATTCCTCCATTAACAAGTCCTTTGAGTGTATGTGTTTCTAATGTGTCAGTTAATGACGATTTAGAGGACAATTCTGATTTAAATGGTATTGAGAGAAATATAAGTCCAGCATCTGCATCTCATCGTTCCAATGTTATAAAAACTATCAATATTAATGAAAACATATTAAATAAAGAAATTAATAATTTAGAAAAAATTTACCAGGGACAATTCAAATTGTGTATATAGTGTTGATGATAGAAGTGAAACATTTGAAAACTTTCAACAATTAGATATGAAGAGTGAATTAAGTAAATGGGCGGTTGAGTATAACGTACCAAATAATACACTGTCTGGTTTATTAAAAGTTTTAAAAAAAACATGATTGTTTTAGTAGTTTTCCCAGTGATGCTAGGACTATTCATCAAACTAATACTAATACTCCATATAGCCAACCTATACAAATTAAAACTGTATCACCTGGTATATACCATCATTTTGGATTAGCAAATGGAATACAACAAACTATAGACAAATGTTTTTCTGATGAAACTATTAAGTTAGTAATTGGAGTTGATGGTCTGCCCTTAGCTAAAAGTTCCGGCAGTACTTTTTGGCCTATCTTAGGTTATATAAGGCAATTTAACCAAACTGTGTTTCCTATAGGAATTTATTGGGGTCATGAAAAGCCTGGTGATAGTAATATTTTCATGAATGATTTTATAGAAGAGGTTAGGGATCTCATTTTAAATGGAATTACTGTTGAATTATTTAATAAAGATAAACAATTAGTAAATTTAAAAAAAAAAATTGCAATTGATGCATTTTGTTGCGATGTTCCCGCAAAGGCATTTTTATTAAAAACAAAGGGTCATACTGGCTTTTATTCTTGTTCTAGATGTTCAGTACAGGGTACTTTTTTACTTCGACGTGTTTGCTTTCCAGATTTAGAATGTTCAAAAAGAACTCACCAAGATTTTTTAAATAAAATTCAAGAACAACATCACACTCCAGGTCATATTACTAATATAATTAATATCCCTGATATTGATGTTGTTCAAAACTTTTCTATTGATTATATGCATTGTGTTATTTTGGGAGTTATGAAAAAAATGCTTATGCTATGGAAAGGAAGTGGTGAAATTGGTAGAGTAGGTGTAAATAAACAAAAATTACCCTCCAACTTAGTTAAACAAATATCTACTCGTCTAATATCATTAAAAAAATATATACCTTCTGATTTTAGTAGAAAACCTCGGAGTTTAGATGAATTAAGTCGATGGAAAGCAACTGAATTAAGGCAATTTTTGCTATATACCGGACCTGTAGTGCTTTATTTACAAGTGTCAAAAAAAATTTATTACAATTTTCTTTACTTAAATGTGGCTATGACTATATTCTTAAGTCCCAATTTTAACCACCTTGCATTAGATGCTCAGGCTTTAATGGTAAATTTTGTTAAACAGTTTGGTAAATTATATGGTAATAAATTTATATCTAACAATGTACATTCATTAATTCACTTATATGATGATTATGAAAAATATGGTTCACTAGATCAGGTCAGTTGCTTCAAGTTTGAGAACTATATGAGTAAATTGAAAAAAATGGTTAGAAAAAATGAAAAGCCTCTCCAACAAGTAGTAAAAAGATATTGGGAACAATGTAACCTCAAATTTGACCATGAAACTACAATGTATTTCAACAATGATAATATTAGACCAAAGTTTGAAAAATTACACACTGAAGGTCCTTTAATTAGAGATATGGCTTCACCACAGTATAAAATATTAATCTTAGAAAAAATAATTATAAAAATTCATTCTGATTCTGATTCATATGCAAGTGTAAACACCAATGGAGAAACTAACATTATTAAGATAGTAAATATTTGTTATAATTCACTCTTGAAAAAAGAAGTTATATTAGGTAGAAAATTTGAAACTGTAGAATGTTTCTTTAAAAAACCAATAAAAAGTTCTGACATAGGAGTATATAAAATTAGTAATTATTCCAAAAAAGTTGAAATGTGGAATATTGGTGATTTAAAAGTTAAATATGCTGTGTTACCTATTGATGAAAATGTGTCTGTAGGTACACCAATTATTCATTTTAATAATTAAATAGTAAAATAATTAGTGAAGTAAAAAAGGCCAAGTGATGTAAGTATGTAACTCACAAAAATATTTTTTTTTTTGAGTAATCAAAATGCAAATAATTACCTAGTTTTTTTGGAAAAAAGTTTACAAAAAAATTATTTGTGTTATATAATTTGTAATGTGAATTTATTATGTCTTATAAATATATATTGTAGTCAATTAAAATATTAATTTTATTGTTAGTTTCAATTGCACCACTTGGATTTTCTTCACCTCTTATTATTTAATAATAATATTTGTACATATTTTATACATACATACCTATCTATTATATTAAAATTTGTCTCAATTCTCAATTTTAGTTTAAGGTTCATAGTAGTACAAATTATTATTTGTATTAGATAAAAATGTGGGCAATAGTTCATTTCTTGGACAACAACAGTGTGGAAAGTGTTCCTATTCATTGGATTGTAAACGACAGGTGTGCTTGGCCCAAAAATAGTCACAATATACATAAACTAAGAACAAGCTGTGTGAAAACCAATGAATTTGAATTTAACTTTTATCGCATAAGAGTTCTTTCAAATAACATTAGTGAGTATAATCAATAAGTATTACTTGTAAGGAATATCACTAACTTTATCTTTAAGTTTATAATATACAGATTATATTTGTATATATTTTGTAAGTTGAGGACAATAACATAATCTGTGTAGTGCAAGGTCGTAACTGAAAACAATGTTTTTTTGATGGGGGTCCAAGATTTTTTCAACATTCTTTATACAATATTATAGTTAATAAACCTACTAAAATTGTTCTAGGTATTTTTAAAAAAATGTCCTGTAATGTACCTATTCTGTACAATTTTGTAAATTAAATACTTAATAACTATACATTTTGTTCATAGAATCTTTAATAGAAGCAGAAGAAAAAGTCCTTACTGCACAATACACATCAGACATATCTGACGGTTCTTCGACAAAACAACATAAACGCAAAAGAGAAATTGATTCAATCAAGTTCACTCATGAAACTGGTATGCTATTTTTGTGTTTAAAGGTTTTTTTTATATTATAATTATGGATTTAAAAATAATATTAACGGATTTGAATGTGAAATTTTAATAGGTCACTCTAATATCATAAGAACTAAAAAGGGCAAAATTAGTACTTCAGATGATACTAAGCATTCAAAATTAAAAACTAAAGTATATAAATCAAAAGCTTTATTGACAAAAGTACAATCATCAGAATCAGATGACAATATGTCAGACATCTGTAAGCATTTCATTATATTTCAATTAAATACCTTTGTGGTAATTTTCTTAAGTATACCTTTATTGATTCATCATAAATTAATTGTTCTTTAGGTTATTTGTATATTGATACTATTTTAATAGTACTTTGTAGATGACTCATTATTTATAATAAAGACTT